TACACTTCAAATCTCTGACGGTGGGGTTACCCTCTGCTTGGGTGTGCTTGTGTCTGAGGAAGGTGCCATGAGGCTGATTCTTTAAATGTTAGAAAAATCAGATTCAGCTGCTGCTGCAGAAACACCCTGAGGTAAAGAAGGGAGGGTGAGGTGACCCACCAGAAGCCCACAGCACACAGTTCAGGCTGGCCACACACGCTTTAGGGTGGGGGGGTTCCCACTGGGGTGCCTGGCCAGTCTGGGTGAGGGGCTGAGGGCCATTTTCAGGCTGGCCAAGCCTCCCCAGCAATGGAAGCTCCCAGCCTCTCCTTTTTTTCTTTCTTTTTTTGTGGGATTTTTTTTACCTTCTATAATTGAAACTTTGTAGCCTGGAGTGGAGCTCAGAGCTGGCCAGGGCTTGGCTTCCTCCATCACCAGGGGCAACCCAAGGCTCCAGCTCCATGGCCACGGCCGGCTGAAAGTAGGTATCTGGGGTTTATTTACCTTCTATAATTGAAACTTTGTTGCTTTGAGTGGAGCTTAGAGCTGCTGCGACAGGCGAGAAGCTCGGCTTCCTCCATCATTGAGGCAACCAAGCCTCCTGCTTGCTCTAGCTCCATGGCTGCTGGCCGCCATCTTGGTTGGGTTAATTTGCATATAGCACTCTGATTGGCTGTTGGGCGTGGCTTGAGGCATAGCGAAGGCACGGTCAATTTGCATGTTTGTCTTTTATTAGTGTAGATTAAACTTGGAAAAGAACTAGTCATTAACTTATACATAATAACCTCTATGATACTTAAAAATCATGATGACTAAGTTGCCTTAACTTTCTTACCTTCATGCTTAACTCTCTAATATTAATAAGTGAAGCCTTGGCCACTGTGGTGCAGGCTCAATTCCAGGTCAAGTGCCCATACTTGGATTATAGGTTCCATACCCAGCCTGGTCAGGGTGAATTTGGGAGACAACCAATAAATGTGTCTCTCTCACATCAATATTTCTCTGTCTCTCTCTGTCCCTCTTTCTCTCTCTCCCACTCCCTCCCTTCTACTGCCTCTAAGAGTCAATGGAAAATATATCCTTCAGTGAGGGTTAACAAACAAACAAACAAAAACATATGTGGAAATAATTTGTTAAGAGGAAAATTGAAAGGAAGAATATAAATTAGGAATAAAAAATTTATCAAATAAATGTGGAATTCTAGAAGTCCAAGTTGAAAAAGGACTAGAAATTAAAATATTTTTTAAATTGTGCATTTTTGTTGTTTTCTTTCCTTTACCTTATTTACCCATTCCAAAAGAAGTATATGCCTTTTTTTAAGTTTAGAAAATATGGTGTAATACAAAGAAAAGGGAAAAAATTCACTTTTCACAAAGGCATCTCTAAAGAACATCTCTAAAGAACCTTCTAGCCTTTTTTCTATTTCTTTTTGTACACGGTTGTACTTCCACCATATATACTCTTATCTAGTATTGTAGTATAAGCATTTTTTAAACACTAATAAAAATTTATGAGTGCATTAGTTGTCTATTGCTATATAACATATCATGAACAGCTTAAGAGCTTCCACTACAATACACATTTATTATCTCATGCAGTTTCTGCAGGCCAGGAATCTGAGACAGGTTTAGCTGGTGTTTCTAATTCTGAGTGTCAGATGAGTTCCTAGTCCAGATGTTGGCTGGGCCTGCAGGCTTCAGTGAGGCTGGAGTATCCACTTCTAAGATGAGTCACTTGTGGCTGTAGGCAAGAAGCCTCAGCTCATCACCACATGGGCCTCTCCATAGGGCCCCGTAAGTGTCTTCATGACATGGCACTCGGCTTCTACCAGAGTGGGTGAGAGAGAGAGAGCAAGGTAAAACCCACAATGTCTCTTATCACAAACGCTCATTTCCATTTCCTGTTGCTTACACATACCAGCCGTATTCATCTTGGTGGGGACTCACAACGTGTGACAACAAAGACTCACAAAAGTGTGAACACCAAGGAGACTTCTGCAAAACTAGCTACCACAATGAAAATTTTTAATGGCTGCATGAATCCTATAATAGAGATCTCAATTAATTGTATTAACTGTTTATGTAAGGTTAGATATTATTTCCAATATTTCATTTTTATAAACAACTCTACCAAGCACTCTTGCAAATAAAAATGCCATGAGTACTTCAGATTATTTTCTTTGGATATGGTCTTCTAAGCATTGAGTTATAAAAAAACTTTTAGTTAATTTCCATTTTAAATTGGCTTCATAAGCAAATTAATATTTATATTGCTTATTTCCTTCAATGTATTTGGGATAAATTCTTTAAAATACCTATGCAGTGATTTACAACTACATGTTTATTTTCATTTAATGCATTCTATATGGTGTATATTTTAGGCAGATATTTTATATCATATATAGATAATATTTTGATACTTACAGCATGTGGGTTTTTTCATTGTTATTTAACCATTTTATAGATCCTCCTGAGTTTGTTTGTTGCTGTTATTTTGGACAACTTAGAACTTGATGAAGATCTAAAGAAGCTTAAACAAGTAAGTAATATATGGGGGAATCTTAAAACATGTGCTTACAGGTAATATTAAAGCAGTTCAAACTTCAAAGTAAAAATATAGATTTTGAATAATTACAGCAGTCTAAGTTGGCAAAGATATTTTTAATTTTATTTATCAGCAAAGGAAATTTTCTATTGCTCTATAATTATCCTAGGAACATTTTTACATTATTATTATGAGTAAGGGTAAGATTGATATAGTGTAGTAAATTGGAGTTGAAGACTATTCTCCTTCTGCCATTAAATGAAGGTTGTCTGAAAATGAAATGTGTCAAAGCCAAGTTGCCTTTTTGCATAATTATATGTGATACTCTTGATAATCATAAAAATGTTAAACATCAACTTGCCTTGCCTATAGATACTAAAAGAGGATTTAGTCTGGGTACCCATGGTGATTATAAAAAATGGAATGAATAAATGATCAACTGTGCCCAGTTAAGTATGAAAACAGATGGGATGTTATGGCAATGAAAATTATATCCCCAAAAAATGAAAATGAAAATGTATGAAGGTTATGTTATTGACGGCAGAAAGATTATAGGTATGATCAACCATTCTCATAGTTTCTGTTACATGGAGGATACTTTGCTTGAATATCTGGCTCTATGAAAGACCCTTTCAGAAGGAGAGTGGGTGGGAGAGAAGGACACTGGAACAGATATTCTTGCATTATCCTCCCCAACACTGCAAGAATTATAGAGATGCTACCAAATAGTACCAAGTCTCTAAAACAAATCCTATCTAGATCTAGGAGACCCTCCACTGTCAGAATTTTCAAATTGCATCTGAGTTGTCTATTTTTAACAAAGCAGAGACATAATCTACTTAAATTGTGTTGTTGCCATTTTCATATCTGAAAGTTACATTAAGGCATTTCATCTTACAACTCTTCTTTACATCTCCAAAGCCTGTGTTTTAACTAAGGGTTGTCAATAAAGAAAAAAATGGATGTAAAGATGCCCATTTAAATAAACTATATGGTGCTTTGCTTTGAGTGTATATCATTTGTTTTATCAAAGTATCACTGATATCTAATAAGTTTTATTTAATCATTCACTAGGTATTAGTGATATTTTGTTTTTCTGGAAATTCTATACTTCAAAGTTGATTATCCAATTGTGCTAGTCTATAATTTGGAGTATATTCTTTGAATATTTAGATATATTTGAGCATTGGAAATCCAAATCATAAGTAAAATATCAAAATCTAATTGTATTAGTACTTTTCACACTGTTTTTAGCCATAATTGGACTGAAATTACATTTCTATTAAATTCATCTATTAATTTTATACTTGACTAGTAGCCCGGTGCATGAAATTCATGCACATTGAAAGGGAATTAATTAGAGAAATGTAATTTGGACTCACTATCTAATATCAATAATATGTGAGTGGGAGGCAGTCGACGTTTCTGAAATTCAGTGACATGAATTTTAGCGATTACTTTGTCAAATAAATGGAATTTATAGATATAATTTAAAAGAGCATTCAGATTAATATTAAAAACTCTGGCTACCAAGTCAGGTCTGTTTCCA